TTTTGGGGGACCCATAGCATGTGGGTTAAGGAAGGAAGGAAAGTGGGAGGACATAGAACTACAGGTTTCCCATGTGGAGATCTAGTTGACTGGCCAGACTGGCCACAGAGATAAACCAAAACCAAACGTGGTGCCATGGAGTCAGTCCTGACTCATAGCAATCCCCTGTAAGTTTCTGAGACTGCAACTGTTTATGGGAATAGAAAGCCCAGTCTTTCTCCTGTGGAGCTGCTGGTGGCTTCGAACTGCTGACTGTGCGGATGGGGTCGAAACGCAACATGTGAACACTATACCACCATGGAAAGATAGGGGGCATTAAAAACGGAGGCCGTTCCCCCTCTCACTACTGCACTTGACTAGTTTTAAAAAGAAAAAAACGGAGGCAGTTTGGGGACTAAGATGAGCGTGTTAGTCTGGCTTGACTAGAGAAACAAATTCAGAGGCACTCATGTATAAGAAAGTCTTATATAAAAGAGCAGTTGTATATTGAGAAAACATCCCAGCGCAGTCCAGATCAAGTCCATTAGCCCATATGTCCGATACCAATCTATAAATTCCTCTTCAGACTCATGCAACACATGCAGTGACGCCGAATGCAGGAAGATCACAGGCCAGTGGGTGGAAAGTCTTGTGATCCACCGGTAGTGGAAACATCTCAACGCTGGGAGGGGTCTCCGCGTGGCTCCTCCAGCACCCTGTGTCTTGTCAGCAGGAATGTCTCTCAGAGAGTGAGTGTGTGTCCCGCCTCCAGTGAGCTATTTATCTCCTCAGCGCCTCCAAATGAGGTCATCAAGCTGCGGCCTGATTGTCGGGTTAAACTAACCCACTGATGTTTTATTTTGGACCTGCTGGGCCATCCACTTAGTGAAGACTAAGAGGCCAAATGTGGGGCTGGAGCTACCCAGCGTTGGGAGCCCAAGTAGAAGAGGCTGTGGAAGCCTCACTTCCCTCCGAGGATTTTGTCAGTATTTTGGCTCATCAGAAATTGATCATAGAGAAACACATTTTTTAAAAACCTGTAAGTAGAGGCCAGTGTCTGCCATTGAGAGCTCTTTATTTGGAGATTTTTTAAGATTGAGGATCCCCAAAATGTAACAACACAATTAAGTGGGATTATAATCAGTTTTTGAGAAAAATGCCTTAAACCCAAAGTTTCAAAGAGTTTAATAAGTGTAACAATGTGTTACCTTTTTCTAGATAAAGGGAAAATCATACCGCTAAAAGTGCATAAAATACACAGTTCAGCAATTAAAAAATGTTTTGTGTATATGTGCACGCTCTCATGACCATCCAGTATCCTGTCTAGCCCCTTAGGTTTCTTATCCAACATTGTCGCCTCCCCTGCCCCATCCTACTCCTGTCCTTTTATTTTCTTCTAGGGGTTTTGGGGACAAGAGTAAATTTAGGATGGGAGGCTTTCCCTCTCTGCTTCCCCCAGTCCTCGGTGCCCAGAAACAGGAAGCCCATAGAGCCGAATCCAAGTCAAACCCTGGTTTGACTTACTCAGTGTGTATCCTGTGTCTTTTGGTATTCTTGCTTACCCTTCCCCCAGCTGCTACTTCTAAGAAAAAGAAAAGTACAGTGAACCCTCGTTTATCGCGGTTAATCGGTTCTAGACCCT